AATATGACTGCTGATATGACTTTATAAAGATAAAAGAGATAGATATTTGATATTTATTCGTATTGATTTCTACCTTTCTGTCTCTGTGGTATACAAATCAAGAGTCGATCCTGTTAGAAAGCCAACGCGCTAAAGATAGCATTATCCTGATTTCTCGGGCGCGGCTAGGAAGCAGCTTTCTTGTCGGTCGTATTGTCGCATTTCGGATCGCGACTTCGGTTTCGTTTGTACAAGGGAGGAACGCACCGAACGGTCGATCGCACGCCGGTGCAAACACCGTTCAGCCTCACGCAGGAGATACGATCTCGCGCATATAGGGACAGCAACGTCCTCGCGGCCTCGGTCGGGCTCCCTCCAGGCGTAAGCCGGCTACGCCATTAAGCTGGAATTCAGGTGTATTAACGATGCTGGGCACCGCGCGCGGCACAGGTACGTAGCGACCACCCGTGGCCACCCGGTAGCACACTAATGGCAACGCTACGGCGGAACCGTTCGTTAGAGAGATTTTATTTCGCCTATCTTACGCGCTCGCGCGCTCCGAGCAACACGACGTTTACTGTCGGCGCAGCATGGGAAAGGGTTACGAGGCGCAATTGTGTACGATTGCGTCGCGTTCGTACTCACGGGACGTTACCCTGATTGCCCGCTGCCTCGATGGGATCGACTGAAAGGCTTTCACGGTACCGTGATATCTTATAAAGTGCTCTTGGATTGTTGCCATTCCATTAATTACCGTATTAACGTGTTCGCCCTAATCGCAGTGCGCATTTAAAATCTGATAGGAATTCGAATTTGATTGCAAGCAATCTCGGTTGATGATGAAATAAAAGACGACAATATTTTCAGAAGAGAACAGTTTCAGTCGCAATTGTTGACGTACTCGATTACTATACATTTTTTAACTGAAGTAAGTTTAATAATAAAATTCTATATTTCTAACGTTAAATACAGAATAACTTCTATAAAGGAGATAATTGATAATCCGTGCGGTACATACAATGGGCAAAAATTTTAAAGATAATATATAATTTATTTGTATGTCTCTTACGGAACAAATTTCGCTGAAGCGGAAACGCAGCGATGCGACTAATCCCGCGGGAATATAAGCAGGCGCTGTATCGAATCTCTATGCTCTTATTTGAACTCGAGACTAAGCGGTATCGTCGTTATCGAGAAATTCCAGCGAAGGTTTCACAGGTGTTACGCGCAAATAAATGAAGGTCCGTTGAATTATTTATTTCTTCCTCGCAAAAAGTTTCTGTCGTCGATGGAATATCTTCGTAATGATTATCCTTGTTTATGTAAAATATAAAATTGTTTTATTTTTAGATTCAATGTACCTGTTATTATACACATATATGTAGGTATAATGCAGCGATTATATAATTTAAAATATAAATAATTAAATCATAATGTTTAAGTCTAGGCAAGTATTAGGCATCTTGTTAACATTTTGCTAACTTGTTTATAATTATGTACATCTCATGTGTCCTTAGCTTTTGATTTTAATAGAATCTTTTTGAAAATTTTTTTTTATATCGATTTATTAATTTGAAGATACAAAATTTACATTTTATTCTTTTATGTACCTCTGACAATATTTTGAGCGGCAGCAATAATTATATAATTATGATAGCGTTTCTTACAAAAAGAATTAATAACTAAGCTTTCCGTATCACCTTATTAAGTAAAATTATACAATTTTCACTTAAATTATAAAAAATTACATGGCGCAACATTTCTATTATATCAATACTTTTATTACGTGTTTTAGGTGGTTCTGCCATTTCGATGATGACAATTACGTGAACGTGCCGCGCCTATTGAAGCTTCTAGACAATTATAATCCACGGGAGGATTGGTACCTCGGTAAACCCTCGATACCTGCGCCCTTGGAGATCATCAGGCAGGGCCCGGAGCCGCAGAAACGACCGGTGAATATAGATTAATTGCATTTTCTTTCCTTTCATGTTCCACTCTTAATTTGTTTTTTAATCTGTTTGTATGGGAGTTCTCTGTTTAAAAATGTTTGTCCAAAGATGGCAAGCAATAACATGCAAGCAGTGCACAATATAAATTAGATTACCCGCAGGAATGACTGATTTATCCAGTCGTTGGAACTTAGCGAACCCACGAATCCTAGTTCAACATATTATAGAAATATTTAATACGTACCTACATATTGTACACTTACATCGACATGCGTTTTTGCGGGAGATGTTGTGTGAATAGTTAAAGTAAAGTAAAAGCAGAACATAATCTAATTTAAGAAGACGAATAAGATTAGGAACATATTTATTATATTTAAAGATTCGAACTGAATATAAATTAAAGTTTATTTTTACATTTTATTGTAAAAAATTAGATGGCTTTTTTTTTGTTAATAACAAACTGATATTTTTAATAATACAGAGGAATTCATGGGTACTGCATTATAAAACATATTTTTAATCTTTTGATATTTTCAAGTATTTTGTCTCGATTGATTTTTGTATAGAATTAGCTTTTCTGTTTATATAGGTTTATTCAAATACAAATAGGATTATATTATATGTATTGTACTTACTACTTCAATATGGATTTTATTATTTAAAATTGAGCATTGGAACATGTCTAAAATTATTCTTTCGTTCAGCTACATAACATCTGTATGTTTCGAGGGGCTACCGGCTTCGATCCAGATTTACTTACAATATACATAGATCGTATACTATAATTACACTCTTCTCCGAAAATCAATTTATTATCGTTCTCCGCGGTTGGTCAACTAAAGGAAATTGTCCCTCAAGATTTATTTAGAGCCGCGATAGCTCAGTAGTAGCAATTTAAAACAATGACAATAACGAGCGCTACGCGCAGACACGCCTTGCTGTCTCCAGCACGCGGAGATGCCGCAAACATGAAATTCGTCCGACCGCCTTTGAAGCTTCCGGTGGGTTTCTCCATGAAATTAAATCTACCGGAGGAAAAAAAGGAACCGGTAGGCTTTTAAAGGGAAGAGGGAAAGCAGAAGGATGGGTAAAAGAGGGCAAGATTATTCGCGATATTTTCTTTCTCCTCTCTTTCTCCTCTCCTCACTTCGCGGTCTTTACACGAGAAGCCGTGCCGTCACTAACGGGTGGTCTTATCGAATTTATGCATCCGCGAGGCGGCGGCTTCCGGCAAAGTCGAACGTACATACGTCTTGGCAAATGCGGGTTTAGAGTGAAATAGGGATCGCTTCGCTTTTGTGAGCAATTCGTTCGACGGTGAAGGCAAAGAATATCGCGCGAAGAAAATGCGCGATAGCGTCTATTCTTTTTAATGCTCCCCGGCGGCGTTTTCTCCGTGCTGCGAGTTTCATACTATTATCTCGCACCTCGCGTATATATACATATATGTATATATCTCTCTCTCTTATCCCATGCGAGTGCATGATAGGTTTTTATGGATAGATCTCGTGCCCGTGAAATTCCGATTTTCCCTCGCGGGAGATGCAGTCGTTGCGCCCGCGCGCGGTTCACTATCTTCTCGGATATTCAATCTACGACACTTTTTACTCGCTTCGATGTGCGTTTATCCGCGAAATTGCTCTTGGAGATTTGGCATATTGCACGTGAGACATTTTTCCTAGTATTTTTCTATCGTCAACTTATAAGCGGTAAAAGATATCGCAAACGTTGAATTTATTGCATATCTGCATGCAGAAATGCCATATTACAGCTTAAAAATATAATATAAATAATAGAAATGCATTGAATTAATAATAATATTTTAAGTACTATTTTTATTTTATTATATTTTTTGTTTTACGTATTTTTTTATTATTTTTTTTATCTCATTCTTATTATTTATCGTAATTTTTATTATATTTTTTGTTTTTTTTTTTAGCTATATAATATTATTTTTTAATTATAGCGGTCTTCTTTTCTTAAATATTCCTTAAAAAATTCAGGTTCTGTAATTTTTTTTTGGAAATTGCTTAAAATTGTAATTGTATATCTAAAAACTGTCATATAAAATGATATATTCGTTTTATATAAATTGTTGAATTATGAATTACTGCGAATAATATTCTGTCTTGAGGTTATATTACGAATTTTAAATCACTCACATGAAAGATGAATAGAGTTTGTAACAGAGAAAGAGAGAGAGAGAGCAAAGTAGAGAGCGTCTTTTCAAGGCATAGCAAGCGAAGAAACTCGCCTGTGCACAATCATGAATCGATAAAAGCCCGTCTCACGTGCTGCTTTAGGAGATACACGATGCGATTCGGATGTCGCCGATATGATCGCCGACGCTCGGCAGCCGACAGTTAAAGGAAGCCCGCGATCTTATCACGACGTGGTGTCATGCTATGAGGCCATTAATCCTTTTTCTTCTGCCAAGACAAGAAATGAAAAAGGAGATCTGTTGCCGGTGACGTCGTTCACGATCGAGAGAACAGGTCGATTTATGTTCCGGAAAAAAAATTTCAATATATACACGCGTCATCCGCTTTAAAAATTAATAACCGTTTTAATTTGTTCATTAGGAAATTTAAAGTAATATATAATATCTCTTATCTTTTTCGAATTAATTTCTAAACGATTGTTTTTTACACTTACCGGAATTTGCATATTACGCGATGGAAAGTTGGACAAGGTACGAATTGGAGAAGCTGCTTCTCGCACTTCTTTCTTTCATCGTTGGGAGAAAAGTATGAGGTTACCGGGGGAAAATAGATAAAGACGAGTGGGATTCGTGGTGCTCTCGAGATGAAACGATAAATCTTGCAAAGCCCGTAGGATCCGTTCTTCCTTCTGAGATTAACCGCTTCTTATAAGGTTCAATCGAAGCTATTCATCAAGCGCCTTCCTTGATATCTCTTTCCCTGATTTCTCTCCGCCGCTCGTTAAAGTCTAATCATAGTACGGATTCCAATTTTTTTCTTTTTACTATCCATAAACTTCGCGCGATCTATGATTGCTAATAATCGATCGGACCTTTCACTACTGAACGGACTACTACAGAGATTGAGCAGGAAAAGGAAATGAGCGAGATTTAGATTTCTGATTTATTGAATAGTGCGTGTTTATTTAGAAATGTTTTAGATTGCGATTTATTTCAGGATTTTTCCTTTATCCAAATTTCAACATCCCAGAGAGAATATCTTAGATTTCGCTTTAGTGACGGATTCTATTTCGAAAGGAATTTGAAATTGTCTCTTAAAAGAAATTTCAAGGAAAATCAGTTTTTTAGTTCTTACATCTAATATGAAAATTTTCAATTATTCAACTTTGATTAAGATTCTATAAAAATGAGATCATAAGCGAATATCGAATATTAATGTTTGAATATTGTAACTTGTTGAAACTTGTTTGTGAGAAAAATATCAATTCTCTAGGAATTGGGAAAAAGTCTTATATTAGTTTTATTAGAAGAGAGAGATTCGACTTACAAAGTTTTATATAAACATGAACGTAACATAAGCCAAAAATTTTCAGTTTTGTCCAAAGAGAATAATTAATGCGAGAAATGCCGCAAGAATTTATCATCTGTGATTAAAAAATGTTTACGTTTAGTATTTAAAAAAAAAAAAAAAAAAAAAAAAAAAAAAAAAAACATTTGATAATATATCGTATAAATGTAAACGTTCGCGGAAAACCTAGCTTGCACGTTTATCCGTCATCGAAATTATTTTTCACGCCATTATTTCATATAGGGCTGTCGTCGTGAGATCCGGTCCGATAACCACGAGGTCGATGCCAGTTATATACTCAACTCGTTACTGGTCGGTCCGCAAAAGATAAACTCGATTGATCATTGAATATACATGCATGTTGGCGTATTGATCATCGCGTGGTGACCTATTTAAGGTGACCCGAGGTTTATGCGGAATTTAAATTGCTCGATATCCTCTGACACATTCTAAGAATATATTTAATGCATTAAATGAATTAATCAAAACACAAGATTTCTTTAAATACGTCACTCGTATTTAAAGCGTTGAAAAATGAAATCCTTGAGAGAGATAAACGGTTCATTATTTTAAAAAACGTTAATTATTAGAATAATTTATAACGACTAAATTATTTCATTGTACAATTCTGTGATATACGTGAAAGTAGAGCAATTTATGATTAAAGATTTTATCTGTGTCCTGAAAAGACACTTCAAATATATCTACCGCCTGTTCCGTTTTAATCTGATTATATATATATATATATATCTCAGCATACATTATGTAAGGTGATAGGCTTTAGATCAGCAAGCTGATCGTTTTATTCCAGTTTTATTACGCAGCTATTTGGCACAGTGTTTTCTGCACGGTGAATGGATATTGTTCGGTCCATATGTTATAAAAGAGTTCTGACTCGATCTCGAAACGTTTTTCTGCCCTCTACGTGGTCCTCTTTCTTTGCGGTTCTCTTCATTCAGCCTTCTTACGATCTGGTCGGACCAGTATCGTGTGCACGAAATCTCTTGAAAGTCGATCAACCGCGGTTCCTGTGAGCATAAGTATCGATAACACGCATGCCAGCTCGTTTAAACCTTTTTTTGTCTTATACGAAAATCATTTTTATGCGAATGACGTCCGTCGCTGATATGAATTAAAATAAAAATCGCCCTGGATTACTTCCTTCTTGTGCCGGACACAACCTGCTCCACCCTTTAATTAAGTAAAGAAATCTTGCTTCCTTATCTTTATTCATTTCATAAAAAAGATAATTTGCGTACAAGAAGAAAGTTGCCGGACTACCCGACTAAAAGATGGTTATTATTTGCGTTATAAAAACCTTCTTCGTATCTGTAAACATTGACTGTTCATCAGACTTGCGTTGAAAATCAATTTTGCACTACCGATTGTGAGAGAAAAGTCTTCGGTATTTATGACTATAATTGCGTGATAAAATAACTGTGGTTAGGAGTTTTTATGGTTATTACGCTATAATGTTAGTAATAGTAACCTGGC